GATGTGCAAGGTCGCTGGCAAAGCACTCGGAACATCGTGTCCAGTCGGTATATCGAGATGCCTTTCCTCTCGTTGTTTGTACGTGCGAGGCCTTCGTGTTGAACACTGACAGAAATGGAAGAGAAATGACGTTGCAAACGCCTAGTGTAGGTCGCTAGGCGAGATGTTCTCGATGTTCTCGACCCGAATAGTACCAAGAACTACGATTTTCTATTTAATCATTTCACAGTGTCGACATCGTCGTACTCGATCTGTTGTTGAAATGAGTTATCCCCGTACTCGATCTGTCTCCTATCTACCAACTGCGTGTCATCTACCAACTGCGTGTCAAGTAAACCCATAACGCTACATTACGCTCGTCCACACCGCGCAGACGTTAGACGACTTGCGTTCACACGGCCATAGTCGGCGTGTCGAGCTCGAAGTGGATGCAGTCCGACCGCGGCGTCTCCATGAACGTGATACTCTTGGTCGCGGGCGTTTGCACCAAATACATGGTGCGGCGGTCGGCCAAATGGAGCTGGTAGCCCGTCGAGAGCACGGAAAACAACAGCAGCAGTACTAGAATCCCATCGGCCATAAGGCTGCCGTTGAGCGCACCGCAGTTGACGTCGCAAATAACGTCCAGCTCGGTCGCGTACCGGCTTGAACATACATATTGGCCGGCAGCTGAAAAGTTGACGGCAGTCCCCGCGCAAATGTTGAAGACGAACGCGACGACATCGGCCGACATGACGTGCAGCCGCTTCGCCATGTACCACTGCCGGTGCCGGCGGGCCATGTGCATCCATACAACGCTCGCACACGCTGTGACCAAGGCGGAGGCGAAGAGAAACTGGAATGGCCCCGTCTTGCTGATGGCCGACACGAACGGGTTGCAGCTCGTGGTCTTGAGGTAGTTGGCCGTGAACGCGGCGGTGCCGAGGCTAATAACTGCCGACGTACCGTGGAGCACTTGGGGCAGCGCCGGCGCGTAGAGCACCGATAGAAGGCGCGGTGGCAGCGATGGCATATCTCCAAAAGTCCGCAATTTTTGATGTGCTACATTGAGCGAGAAAAATCGAAGCCCCTCGTTCAAACTGGATCCGTTGTTACGTACGACACTATTTTGGATGCCAGCGGTTGGTGCGGTCTATCAATAGAGCCAGCACGACAACGGACGGTCGTGGACGTCGACGGTTTCGCGCGCGTAACGACCATGAGTGCCTGCAGCGACGACGACGACGACGAGACGACGCTGAGCCAACTGCTTCGGCACTCGAGCGACGACGACGACGACGACAATAATGACGACGACAGTGACGACAACGACGAGAGTAGCGACGACGACGACGACGATTCGAGCTCAAATCTGAGCTCGTCGAGCTCGGAAGAGGAGCCTCCGGACATTTTCACCCAAGTCGGGCGCGGCTTGACGGCAGCAGCACACGCTCTTGTGGGCACACGCGAATCGCGCTTTGCGTCGCGCACCAACACGACGCTCAAGTGGAAGCAAGACGTGGCGTACGAGCAAGCTAAAACTATGTATGAAGCGGAGAAGACCGCCAAACGCCAAGCCGACGCCGCCGCAGACGCCATACGTCGGCTCGACATGAAGCGCGAGAAGAAGACCAAGCTCCAGCGCCGCGGCAACCGCAAAATCGCCCGCAAGATGGCGAAAAAGATCGCTGCCTGCGATCTCCAGCACCAAAAGCGCGATGCCAAGATGACCGTCGTGTCCGAGATTCGCCTGCACCGGCTCAGCGCTCTCCACGCCGAAGCGACGCCGGTGTTGGCTACGACCGCGTCGGCACCGACGCTGCCCATCACCGACTTTGTCAAAAGCATCGCGAGCCGTCGGCTCCAAGAGGCCCGCGACGACATGCTCGCAGCATGTATCGACGAGGCCGACGCCCTCGGACGCCACTGCGGCATGCTGCCCGCGATCCGAACACCGCCCCATGTCGTGCCCAAGGAGCAGCTCGAAACCGCGACGTCTCTAATTCTACGACTGGCGCCCCCCCCGGACCCGAAAGCCCCCCCAAAGCTCAAGACGCTGTTCACTGTCAACCTGAAGCGCTTTCGCCACGTCGAAGACTGCAAAGGTGATCACATTGGTGAAGCCGCGTGCATCGAACTCGGCAAGTCGCTTCTCACGGGCGCCTGTCCGCGCCTTCTGGAGCTCAACTTGTCCTGGAACGACATCAAGTTGCGGGGCGTCCTATCGCTCGCCGAGGCCTTTAAGCAAGGCGCGTGCGGCCAGATGACGCGGCTCGACTTGCGGGCCAACAGCCTCGACGCGACGGCCCTCATACATCTCTTTGAGGCGCTCTCGAAAGGCGGGCTTCCCAAGCTGCAACACCTTCTTTTTGCCGGCAACCTCGTCGGCGATCGCGGCGGGAAGGCCGTCGCCCACGCCTTCTTGGCGGGGGCGCTTCAGCATTTGGTCACGATCGACCTCAAGTCGAATGGCATCAAGAACGACGGGTGTCGGGCGATCTATAATGCGTGCACAGCCGACTGCTTTCGCCGCCTCGGGCCGTCGCTCGAGCTCATCGATCTCCGCCGCAACCAGATCAACTACGTCACCGCCCAGTCCCTGACACCGTGTCCCAAACACATCTCTTTCTAGTCCTATGCGCGTTGTCTCTCAAAAGCACCAGATGCGGGTCTCGCGAGGCAAGGAGGCGGGTGCGTTGACGC